GATTGGCACGCATTTATATGCATTGTACAATTCTTTGTTATTATTGTAAATGCAAAACTGTCCTAAACTTGCATGTTTTTTGCAGTTGATATATAAAATAAACATTGAACCATAAATTTTGCCTTTTTCATAAAAGCAAAATTTTTGTGTTGCTTTGGGTAGTCAAGAGATCTTTCATAAAAATAAAAAAAAAAAAAAGCATTAAGCTAGAATACCTGTATAAAATATATATTTATTACTTCTTTCTCCCTGGGTTTGTTCCCCCCTAGCATGGCCATATATGGATGTGGGTTCCAGTGCTAAAAAATGTGGGAAATGCAGTGTTGTTAAAACAAATCACTTTGTTAAGCATAGTAACAAAACCAATAGCATTGAAGAATTCCCCCCCGCCATAATTTAAGTCTGAAATTTTTTTCCCATAATTTGTTTTCAAAACTGATTAGAATTTAAAATATTATATTTATGATATCACATTTTAAAAAGATTTTTTTTATCCTTTTCTGTTTTCCCAATTTACAAAAAGAGAGAGAGAGAGAGAAAGAAAGAAATTTCTATAATTCAATGCCTTATCAGACTAGCACTGAAACTGTATGAATGCTTTTTGCAGTGATTTAAGAAATTGTAATAATTTTTATGGCTTCTCAAAGTAATTTACTAACAGGAAATAAGCATGCCAATGTGCTAGTACATAAGATGCTGGCAAAGTAGTGATTATATATGAAAGTAGCCAAAAGTGTTATCACATCTAAGCAGTTGAGAATGTACTTTCGTTGTGTATTCTCATCGCTTTTGAGCCAGTTTTGCTTTCAAAATTAATTTTAATTCTTGAGCTTTCTTACATTGAGAATTTTATGTACTTCCGTTTCAAAACTGTTTGATAAATTTTACAGGAGGCAAATGATTGCTGTTTCAGTAAAGTTTTAGCTACTTTTTTTTTAATCAACGTTAATATAACCTGTATTTTTAAAAGGTACATTAGACATATAAATGTGCATTAGAGTGGGCTGAAAAAACACATTGCATTATTTTTCTATCTTTATAGCCAGCAAAAGCTGCCTGTTGCATAGCTATGCAAAATGAAACAGAAGGTTTTCATATAAAAATATTTTTTCTGTTGACCCATTACACTCAAACTTTCTGTTTTAATAATTAAAAAAAATGATGAAATTATGCTGTTTTCATTAGTTTTTTATAATTATTAAACTCACTACTATCAAAATGCAGCTCCTAACGTGATTTGGAGGCATGAAAAAAAAAAAAATTAAATCATTTACTGTTTGCATGAAAAGCTTTTTTTTAATAGCAATATTTTGCAATTTCTGATAATTTTACACTATCATTTTTAGCAAACAACTGCTGAATATTTTTGATTTTATTATTCAAAAGACTTTACTTTAAAGTTAATTTTTGGGAAAATTCTGGTACATCTTGATATGAAGGTCATCCTAATGAAGCAATCTTTTACTTCAGCACCACATGCCTTTGTAGATGTTTCAGTCACAAGTTTGACACATTATTCTACAGCCTAGGTATGACAAAAGAAGTCTTGGAAAGCTGGTTGCAGCAATGTGCTAGTCTTTAATAAATTTTTTATATCCTCGTCTGTAATGTTACTTGATAATGGAGGAAAAGTAATATTGCAACCTTCCCCCCAAATAATACTGACATTGTCTATTGCTTCAAAGTTGAGTCTGGGCATGGTGAAGTTTCGAATAGTTTTTTTCTCTTGGAAAGTGATAGAGCTTTCAGCAGTTGGTGAAGCCCAAGTCATCTGATATGTCTTCTTTCATCCAAGATCACTATAAAGACAGATTTTTGGGATGAGCAAAGAAAGAATGAATTCCACTGGATTGATGACTTGCAGCAAATTTTGAGATTGATATCATGCGATATTCTGATGGTTTCAAAATCTATCTTTGGACCATGTGCGAAATTTTTGTTGCTTTCAATTTTGAACCAAAGAATAGTGTAACAATTCAAAATACAATGTATTAACTGCTTAATTTCATATGTGTTTTTCTGAGCTCATGTCAACAGCAAATCGAGTCCAAGAACTCGATTTGCTGTTGTATTGAGTGTAGAAGTGGACCAGGATCATGAGTTGCTAAATATTGCAAAGTTGTACATGGTTTTATGACAGCAGAAATATCAAGTAAAACTGATCCTTGCTTAAGACTTTTCTGTCAAGTTGAGGAATTAAGAATTCAACAAGTTCAAAGCAAACCTGTAGAAGTTTTTCACAACCAGCGAGTTTTTTCCCAATCAGTCCACTGAAGGATTTGAGCCGTGTGGTAACATCATCCAAAGAATGAAATAGGTGACAGAACTGCAGTTCATTGAAGTGTATGAGATTTATAGCCCACTGCAGTGCTCTCCCATCATGCAATTTTGATCAGGTGGATAATACCATTTTTCAAAACAGCATTACTTGCAGTTTCATTGCTCTCTGTCACAGTTCAAAAGTTCTTCAAAAGGAATCTCATGTGTAGTCAAATGAGAAGTTATAGTAGAAGCTATATCCTAACAAAACCTGTAGTGAGAGAAACATGGCGAATATATTCCGATTCTGGTTATATTTATATGAGCGAATAATGGTTCTCTTTTTTCAGTTTTTGGAAAAAACTTTGAATTATTTTTTTTAATTACAATCATTTTGTCTTTTCTTCCATCAAAGTACAGACCACTTAGGGTTTCCTTAATAAATCGATTTTTCATATTATTTGTTGCTACAAGTTTTTACTCCTGTAGGCACCAATTCATCTGTTTTGTCAGGTGTCATAATTACATTAATTATGTTATTATGTATATTACAGTAGAAATTTTATTAATTTTTTAAAACCTTAAGTTCATTTGAACAATGAATTCATTATGTGATGACCCCCCCCCCAAAAAAAAGGGCATGATGAAAGAAAGGTTTGAATCTTTACTAAGTAAACATGAAGTGAAAGAGCAAAGTTCTTTGCTCACCGATAAAGTTATTACATTCAATAGCTGATGTAAAGAAAACTAAAGCATCACACAATGAAGTGCCACTGCATTATTAGTTATTTCAACATATGATGTGCTTAAAGTTCAAGGAGTAGAAAATTTAGTAGTCCTATTGACAGATACAAAACCAGATGTAGTGTTTGATTATTCAAGTGATTCTTTGGTTTACATTTTATTTGAAACTCATTTATCTGTTTGACATGATAGTACAGACTGGATGATAAAAGAACTTAATCATCTTTATAGAAATATTACACAAAATGATTAAAGATTTTCCTGAATATTTGGGAAATAAAAAGGGAAAACAGGCAAGACAGGTGCTAGTGTTAAACATATGATTTTTTTTTTCACATACGAACTCAAGATATTAGGTAGGTTTCACATCATTAGTTTTTGATCAGATTTGGAAGAAACTATAAATTTAATTTAGTTTATCAAGACCATCTAACTCAGTTTAAGACCTCTTCAAACAAACAGAGCAGAAGTTGCAGCACAGTTGCTTGATATATCCCTGTAGTCTGGAGCCCCATATATATTACAATAAAAAAATGGAAGATAATTTTGTAATAGACTTTTTGATCCTTTAATCCTTGCTAGAACTTAAAATCATACATGGCAAATCAACACAAAGAAATGTTGAGAGAGTAAATCATGGCATATCATATTCATGATATGGATGCAAGACAAGTAATGCACATCCTGGAATAACTTATTTCTTTACTACATTATCAACTTTGTTCAGTTTATGAAAAACAGAGCATTTCCCTCTGTTTCTTGTTTAGTAGAAGGTACCCTTATAAAGCTATATTTGGTTGTGCAGCTACAGCTGGACTGTCAACAACTTCTATTCTGAAGGAAGCATTTAATTCACTGGATGACGAAGATCAATTACAAGGTGATTTGACTGTGATGGGTACTTTGCCTTACTCTGATAATGAAGTGTTGGTTGAAAAACAAGGTTAAATAAGATTAGTAAAGTTTGTATAGTTTGTTCAAAATGTAATGAGCCTGTCAATGTATCATGTCTGGAAGACAAGTGTTGTATTGATCTGCAGGTTGTGTTTTAATTAACTGAATATTCATAGGGGGAAAAACTTTAAATATGGTGTGGAAATTCAAGCTAAGAAGATGAATTTAATGAATAAATAATGAATAAATCTAATAGTAATGAATAATGATGAATAAATCTCATTCTGAACTTTCCGTAGAGCTTAGTCTTTATCCCAGTACCTAAAGCTGACACAGGAAGAGTATATGCCAGATCTATTTTAGCTTTTATCATGAAAATAATTGAAGGATTTTGTAGAACTGGGAACAGCTGCCACATAAAATAGCTTTATTCTCCATCTTATTTCAGTGTCTGTTAACAAAAGCTAATGAAGATCAATGAAATGCAGGGTACAGAGAAATTTATTATTATTATGGTTTATTTTGTTTTAGAAATAATGTTCTATATAATTCCAAGTGCCATTTTAGAAATCCTTCCTGTAACAAATTATTTTATTGTATTTTTGTATAAATTATATTTTGTATGTTGTATTATTTAACTATTTAAGTGTGGAATTATTAATTTATTATTTGATCAATTACTTCATAACTGAATTATGCACACTACAACAATATATGAGTGTTTAAAATTTCATATCACTGTTTTTCATAAAACAACTAAATTATGTAGTTTTACACTTGCTACTATTATTATTTAATTCAATGTGCATGTCAAATAATTTTTACAATTAGGAAAACAGTGGTTATTTTAAATGCTTTCATTAATAAAAGTTGAAATTTTTCATTTGCAAATTTCTTTCCAGTTTTAAAGATAAAACAGTGAAATCAGAGGTGTTAGTCAGTGATAATGCGGGTATTATATCTGATAACTGCACTGCATATCTGCTAACTACATTCATTGTATTTTCTGCCTTTAAACCAGTCAATCACTTTTGCATTTTTATACAATACTTGGTCTGCAAATTATCACAATAGATGTTAATGAATTTATCTTATAAAATGAATATGTTTTAGCATTTTATTATCAAATCTTATGGATGCAAGCAATAAAAATAACAAAATTTGACTTTTAGTACAATTTTCTTGCATTCATTACAGCATACCCCTTTTCTTATTTTTAAGAAATATTTTTTAAATACTTTTACATACCAGAAGCATCACCTTCTAGAAAATACTTTTTTAGAAGCAATGTAGATCAATGTTAATACTGCTTTATAGAAAATTATCATCACAATATAAATTAAATGTGTAGAATAGTTGCAAAGAAGAGAAAATAATAGTTACAATTAAAAAACTTCATTTAATGTATAACAAGTGCTTTTCTGTGCTTCTTACGGGACATCTCTTTTCAGGAAAAATGCAAACTACACAACTCCTTGAGATGAGCAAAAAGTATGAAAATGAAAACTAACATGAAAATCTTCAATATTCCTTGACTGTCAATATCTTCGAGTGGATAAAATGCAATTCACAATAAATCATAAATAGAAAAATAATAATTGACAGAAAAATGTCGACGTATATACAAATGCTATAACAGATCTTCAACGAAAGAACATTTTCTCCCATAGATTGATTACCCATGTGAAACTTGAATACTTTACATACAGCACTGTACACTTCCAATACAATGTATGGAGATAATATTCAATAATGATGCTATGACGATCTTATTTTATCATCTATTATCAGTTTGTTGTACTGTAACAGGAGATGCAGGAACAATTTCTAACTGATTTGGTTTTTTAGCATTTGCAGCAGAGTTTGCTAATTGTTTCTTTTGCAGATTCAAAATCAGTTCTTTGAGCTGCTGCCGTTTCTTGTACACTTTTTCTTCGGTAAACCAGTTTGATAAGTCCGGCATTGGGTTCCCAAAAAATGGAATTGGATTCTGAAATAATAAAGTAATTTACATAAAAATAACAAATATATTATTTTGAATTTTTAAATATTTTATTAATTAATATTTCTTTTAGGTTTCATTTCATATGAACACAAGCTACTGTTAACATCATGGTGACAATGTGAAGTCGTGAACATCAAATGAGTTCTATGCTTTTAAAATTTCTATTAATTGTTGTTTTTTCTTTATTTAGGATTAATCACCAAAATATTTTATAATATATAATTATATAAGCATAACCTTATTGTACAATCCTTTGTTTTAAAATTTTTTTTTAATAAAAAATCTGTGGTGATCCATTCATTTTGTAAACTGCATTTGCTCAATTTTTAATCTCTATCAAATTCAGGTAGCTTTAAAACTGTTTCATAATTCTCATTGTTATGCATTGCTTTATGATTAAGACAAGTTATATAAGATTTAAAAGAATTGTTATTAAATTTTGTCCCACCTCATAAAGTTATGCCTCTTCACAAAATTTCATTTTTCTAAATTTTATACATGTTACTATTATCTAATTTTGTCCCACCTCATAAAGTTATGCCTCTTCACAAAATTTCATTTTTCTAAATTTTATACATGTTACTATACTGAATGAACCATGTAACCATTATTTTTAAGGAGAGCATATGAGAAATGGAAGAATGACCCATCACAAAGGGCAGAATCTAGCAGCAAACCATCTTTTAATAATACATTGCAATATCTGAGAGATACTGAGCTAATATGTGATGGTAACTGAGCCAAGCTGAATGTGTGTGGCTCAATCACCTTGTAAAGTTCCAGAGACACCTCACATGAATGAGGGTTGACTGCAGTTCCTAAGAGGGACATCAGACGAATGAAAGAGAAGAGAGGCAAATAAAAAACCCGGATTACAAAAGATCAAACACATCACCAGTAGATAGGGCTACAGTGAGCTATAACAGAAGGTAAAACCATATGTATGGAAACTTTCTTAAGTGTGAGAACACCTACCACTTTTGAGTAGCTTAATAAAGAAGCTGACCAAAATACATTTCAAAAAATAAATGCAAGGAAAATAAAATGAAAGAAATGCTGATATAAATTGAATATTTTAAATAAAAATAATCAAGGGAATATAATTTACTAATAAACTAACCCTTAGAGGAAGAAACTATGTACAATAGAGAAAGAGGGAAAATTAAAGTTATATAATAAGAAAATATAATGTTATATGATGCTACTGTACCTTCTCAAAAAATAAATCCTGGCCAGGGATTTGTAGAGGGTATACCAATACTTTTACCAAACATTATTCTCTGAATGGTTTTTGCCGAATTTGGCTTCTTAGTCATAACATTGGCAGCAGCACTGAAGCTCAGCTGATAAGGAAGAAGAGAATAACGGCAGTTTGGAAAGATTCAGTGATGACAGCAATGAAGAAGGCAAGGAAGATTTATAATCTGAATTGTGTTTCCAGACAGAAAAAGCAGGAAGAACTGTCATGGTGTGACTAGTTATCTGCCTTTGCTAGATTACTGGTAGATTTTAAAGGATCACTCACTTAACGAATAAAATACTTAGTTTAGCAGTTTTTCTTTCTGCTATAGGGTTTAATTCTGCTAACTGATTTATTCCTTCTCATTAAAATGTTACTGGGCATGTGTTGCTATGTACTTAGGCAAAGACTGGAGGGGCAGCTCAGATTTCTTTCCTGATAACCGTCAATCGGTATCACATTTCTCTGTTTCTTTATACTCATAATCTGGAGAAGGAGGGGGAAAAAATGCTGTAAATTAGCTTTTAGTGGACATGATGAAAATATGTGTGCCATATTTGTGGACATTTTCTTTTTTCGTGCATTGAAAAAAATCGGGTGAGCATCTTATTCGGTGGCGCCGAGTATTCATGAACATACAGTAGTACTGGATATTCCAAAAGAACTTTTCTCTCTCTGCCTTGCTAACAAATTTATATTGCAATATAAAATTGATCTTTCAACAACTGATATAAAATTATCATTCTAATGATTTTCTAAATAAAGTTAAAAAAACTTAATATTCAAAGATATTCTGCGTTTAAAAGAAACATTAAAAAAATTACACACCTGGAAGAAATTTTCAACGTACTGCAATAAATATACACCACAGTCATGGAAATTTGTCTGCTGGGGACATCGCATTATATATCCCTGCATAGTGTTGCGATCAAAAATTTTTCTAGTCCCCTTCTTCATTTTCCATTCCATTTCTAAATACCTGTTCAAATGAAAACAGTTATAAAACCATCAATTACAGATACTTTTCATGAGGGGAAGGAAGCACTTACAATCATACACTTAAAATACAGTTATTTTCTTGAAAAAATTATCATCTGGAAAATTTAGAAACTGAATGTGAAATTTTTTTATGAATATAGATTTAGCTAAATGAATGTAGTAAAGAAAAAAATTAATTTACTTTTCCAAAAGTGTGTGGGAGCGAAAAACTTCGTTTCAAGAACTCGAAGGAAGTTTTAATCAATGATTTAGATTTTCAGGATTCTTATAGAGAGAAAAAATTTAATTAAGGGGGAAAAATACAAATGGGATGCTCTTTTGCCAACTTATTATCTGGATTCATTTCTAGGCTAATGTAGCTAATATGGGGGAAGTTACATTAAAGAAAATTTCATAAATTATATTTTTTACATAGCAGCAAGAAAAATCTCTGTGTCCATTTTCTTTCCCTTTTTAATTCCAATCTCTCCATCAACAACTATTTGACACCCACAACAGAGAAAAGTCCACTCTTTTCTAGCATAGAGTGAAGAGAAGTCTCTTTCTGAAAGTTGGCACAAAGTTCTCAATGATAATGTAAATTTACAACTGACCACTGGAACAGAAATTCCAAGCACTGTGATCTAAAGCAGGGGAGTACTTTTCATGTCCACCAGGTCCCCTCAGAAAAGGGAATTTGTTATCACTTCATTACAAAGAAAAAGAGTTGAAATCAATTCACAACATAACAATTTGTACCAAAAATTATGATAAAGCAACTTCAGTAAAAGATTAATTTATTATTACAGATGATTTTTTAAGCTAACTTTACTTGTAAGTTAAAAATTATGACAAATATTAAAAATTCATATATTTCAAAAATATTATCTTAACAGAAATTAAATAAATGATCCCATATCCTTGTATAAATAAGTTTTGCATTAATTTTTGAAAGCTTGAGCAAATGCTGAAAATTGGTAACTAAGTGACTAATGAATTCATAAACCAATTTGAAGGATATTCAAACAATTATTTTAGAAAATATTAATGAAATTCCTTTTAAAAGAATTTAATACTTAATAAAAAGAATTTTGTAATCTCTCTCTCTCCAAATAAAGAAAAATTTTACAGACTTTTGCATTAGGTCATCAACATGTTTAAAAAATAAATCTTTTCTCATCCCCAAGAAGATATTTAGTGCTTGCAAAATAATATGTAAATTTTGAAAAACAGGATATTGTTACTGGAGTTGTTTACTGAATAATGCTTTGCTATTTTGCAGAACTTACTCTCTCAAGGTTGCAGCAATTCTCCATCTATTTGGTCCACTTAATGAGTCAAAAATGCATATACAAGGCCTGAAAAGTATTATATTTTCATTACTAGCAATGTCTTTCATCATGCTATATAACAACATACAGCATTGGTTTACAAAAAGCAATTTTATGCATATAAAAGGAGTATTATCAGTATTAAAATTGTTTTAATAAATTATTATTGATTTTGAATCTAGTATTTATAAATGCTACATATTAACAAACTTAACAATCAGACTGATTTCTACAGGGTTTGTACACATTTCTGCATATGGAATTTTAAGTACTTTTAAGAACCATTAATGAAAAAAATTAAGGTGTAGAGACATTAGTGTTTTTTTTTGGGGAGGCGGGCAAGACGAAAATTAGCAACACCTTCACCAGGAATCGAACCATTGAAATACCGGCTCAGTGTACTGACCACTACACCACGAAGGCAGGAGAAATACCTTATATATTACACCTTTTAAAGGGCGACAGGGTTTTTTAAGGGACCCAATCGCCAAATCCTGGATGTGGAGAATCCTCATCCAACACGCTTTTAGTTCGGGGGGCCACTGTGGAGATATTAGTTTTTTTTCGGGGGGGGGGGGGGGGTAAGCAAGATGAAAAATTAGCAACTCCGGAAATCGAACCACGGACCTCTGAAATACCGGCTCAGTGTGCTGACCACTACACCACAAAGGCACGCTAGGAAGGCGGGAAAAATACCTTATAAAGGACCCATCAACAAATGAGAACTCAATTAAAGATATTAGCTATGCCTGAACTTCACTTTTGTGATATCATCCTAAGAATAAAATAGGTCCACAAGTAGAATGCATTATAATTAAACATAATTATAAAACAAATTTGAGAACAAAATCAACTTTATAAAATTTATCAAGTAGCATTTAATTTTTTACCCTTTTAATAGTTGGTCATATCTGAAAGAAGATTAGTGGCATTTTATTCACGTTTTACTAACAGTTAGCTTTATATGTTGATTTTTTCTTTTATGTCTCATTTTGTCACGTACTCGATCAGCTTAGAGGTTTAGTAAATGACAGGCAGATTTTTATGTCAAACAGCATAGGTTAAAATAAGAAGTAAAATCACAATCAGCACGATTCGTTACAGAAGACTGGCTGTTGCTACCGCTGCTGCTTGCCTAGACAGAGGCCTGCTGATCAGAAAAAACCTGAAAGCCTGGTGTAGGTACGATTGGTAAGTTTTGGAAGTTAGTAGTGCTCTGCCTGTCTGATGCAGTTAGCGTGATAACTTTGTGTAGAGATAATGGGGTTGTAACCCAGTTCATATATTTTAAGCCACTTCAACACCTGAGGTCATAAGTTATTTTGTTTTAAGTTTCACTAGATGCAAAGAATTAAGTTTTACATTAATTTTTACATTTTTGTGCTTTATCTTGTGACCACGGTAAAGATTAATGAAAGACAATAACTTACTTTAATATGCAGAGAAAACTTCTAAGGGTGATCAGTTAGTTACAGCTGTAGAAAAAGATAAGGGTACTGCGCCGCCCATAAGTTTAGCTAATTAAGAGTTTTCACCACAGAGAGTTGAGAGTGGTGTAAACTAGATATCCTGTAATCTGTATACAGTACTTGTACATAGTCTTCTCTTCATTAAATAGATTTAGTTAATGGAAAGTATCTTTATTTGGGCCGATACATTACAAGAAACACCGATAATGGAATATTAAGTAAGTTATTCCACAAAAGATTTTGGTAGCATCAGGCCAAAAGGTGAGTCATTTCATTTTTATCTGCATGAAATTTATCTTTGAAAATGAGTTTTGATGAAACTGTAGAGAAAAATAGAAAAATTAGAGGTTCGATTTGTACACATGTAACAAAATTAATAAGGAAATTGGAAGATGAATTGCAAAACGAGAATCCGAACCTAGAACTGTTGCAGGAACCGCTTTCACTGTTAATCGAGAGAGAAACTAGTTTGTTAAAATACGATGAAGTTATTAATGCTCAAAGCACTGTTCAGGAATTAGAGACAGAAGTAGAACATTGCTTAGAATACAGCAAAGCCATCATTAGATGTAAATCGAAAGTCAATAGATATATTCAAAGTGTGAGTAAAACCGAAACAACTTCACAGGTTTCTGAAATCAAAACTAATTATAATATTAAACTACCTCACATTTCCTTAGAAACTTTCAGCGGCGATTTAAGTAAATTTACTGAACTTTGGGCTCAGTATATAAAGCTGCCATTCACGAAAACAATACTCTTCAAGATGTTGAGAAATTTAACTATTTAAGATCTTTATTCACCGGTTCAACTGCAAAAGCTATAAGCGGATTGCCATTAACAGGAGAAAACTATAAAAAGGCCACTGAAATTTTAACTGACAGGTTAGGGAAAAAAGAAATACTAGTTAGTGCACATTTGAACGTTTTCCTAGCTTTGGAGCCAGTACATCGTTCCAGTGATGTATCCAGTTTAAGAAAACTATATGATGAAATAACAGTTCAAACAAGAAGCTTAGAGACATTATTCAATTTTAATTCTTATGGCAATCTAATACTTCCTATTTTATATAAGTGTATACCGCAAGATTTAGTGTTACAGTTTAGTAGGGAGCAAAAGGTTGGCACAGAGTCAACAGTGTCAGATTTATTGTGGCTTCTAAAGAGAGAAGTTGAAGTGCGCGGAAAGTCATTAACTCTGGGTCTTAATCAACAACCACTTTTGAAATCAAACGAAAGACATACTGACAACTATTGTTGCTCCAATTAAAAAGGAAATGGTATCAGCGGCGAAACTTAATACATCAGGCAAAAATTATGTGTGACTTTTGTCTTAAATCTCACCTCTCAAGAGACTGTGACTTAAAAGTATTACAGAGAAACACAAAGCATTATACAAACAATTTAAGTGCAAGCCCTATTTTTTTTTAAAAAAAAAGTCACAAAAAATCATTTTGTAATGCAAAATAGCTTAAATGCAATATTTGCAAATCTATGTCGCATTTAGAGAGCCTGTGTGATGCAAATGTGTAAGAAAATAAATCCATAAAAAATGATGCATGCTCCGTAAAAGACACAAGCATCAGTTCACTATTCCTCGAAACTCTGAGCAAGCAAATTCCTAATGACGTGATTTATTATCAAACATTGAGGGGCCAACTACTCGGAAATAATAAATTAGGTTGTTATGCGACTCAGCTTCCAAAAGATCTTATGTTGGTCAGTCTATTTCCAGAAAAGCAAGTTTACCAACTATTGGTAGAGAAAGATTAAGAATTCACACATTTGCATCTTCGAATCCGCCAGTACAACAATTTAAAAGGAAAAAACTTTCTTTAAAAAATAAGACTGGTTTTACTCTAATCATTGAAGCACTCAAAAACAAGCTCCATCAGAAAGGATTTGACTTATCGGGCAGCTGCGAAAGTGAAGTGACAGAGGAACAAATTTTACTTGGGAATGATTATTTGAACTGCATTTTAACGGGGAAAACACATAAAACACATCGTTTAACAGACTATTTAATATTGCATGAAAAGCATATTCAGTTCGATGTTGAGTGGTAGAGTGGGGGGAGAGAGTAAGAAGCTAGGTTTAGGGTTAGACTATACTGGTTTGTTGATACTAACTGATGCGGAGGAATTTAAAATATCAGAACAGATTCATCAGCTTTGGGTAGTTAAAAGCCTAGGAATTTCTGAGTGTGCAATGCGTCACATCATTCGAAAAGGAGTGCTGGCGATGAGTGAATAAATAAACAATTTGCAAAGGATTTGAAATATGTAGACAGGAGGTATGAGACTTGTTTGTTGTGGAATACGAGTCCAGAGCACTTGGAAAATAATTTTGGTTTAGTAAAGTTCCAAAAGGAGGCAGCTAGAGTTAAAAAGTAACAGCTTTGTGAGGGAACAGTTTATGGAAATAATTAAATTTCAAACACAATATAACATTATTTAAACGGGTGAGGATATGAAAGAGGGATATCTTATGCCATTCCGAGCATTGGTCCGTAAAGATAAAAAAAGCACTCAAGTTCGAATGGTATTTAATTGCAGCAGTTGCGAAAGAGGAAAGCTATCGTCAAACGATTGCTTGGAAAAAGACCCAAACCTAAATGCGAATATTTTGGATATCATTCTTGCTTTTCGGAAATTTAAAATTGGATTCTGCGGTGACATAGAAAAGGCATTTTTGATGATTGGGGTAGCAAGGGAAGAACAGAGTATTATTTGGATGTAATTGTTCACCATTTTTATTGAGTGCAACAATCAATATCATTTAAAGAAATACACAGAAACAAACATCTGTGTCGAGGTGTTAAATAGCTCGTTGTATGCAGATGATTTGTGTTATGGAGGGGAAAATGTAGAGTCAGCTTTCAGTCTTTCATCAGAGGCGGAATCTATTGTGAGAGACGCGAGTTTCAATTTGAGAAAGCTAAACACTAATTCTAAAGACTTGCGGCTTCAGAATGGGTTGTGTGAAGAAAGTAGGTTTGAGAGAGATAAAGAGTTAGGCTTGGTGTGAAGCTTAGAAGAGGATAGGTTTGAGAGTAAACATCACATCATTGTGAGTAGTTTAGAATCGTTGAGAAATAGTAAAAGATCGGTGTTAAGCACAGCAGTTACGGTGTTTGACCCAGTCGGATTTATTTCTCCATTTGGGATGCAAATTAAAAGACTTATGCAGGAAATATGGGAAAGAGGTTTGGAGTCAGATTCAGAGTTGCCAAAGGAGTTACCGTGCAAATGGATAAAGTGATGCGCTGAAATTGAGGAATTAAACACGTTGAAAATAGAGAGATACTACTTTACAAAAGTTCTAAGTAAAGGTCATTTGGTTGAAATTCATATTTTCAGTGATGCATCAGTAATGGCATATGGAGCGGTGGCATATTTTAGATATAAAAATGAGAGAGGAGAGGTATGTACGTTGTTTATAATGTCGAAGAGTAGGATAGCTCTGTTAAAAAATTTGTCCCTCCCTAGGTTGGAATTGACGGGGGGCTGTCGTTGCAGCTAGGTTAGGGAAATATTTATTGAAGGTGTTTCAGGATTTGGTAAGTAGGTTAGTTCTGTGGACTGACTCAGAAATTTACTTGTGGTGGATAAAGGGGTCAGCGCGTGAGTGGAAGCAGTTTGTGTCGAATATAGTTGCAGAAATACAAGACTGTACTTCTCCTGATAAGTGGAAATATTTTCCAGAGTCGGAAAAAACCAGCAGATAAGTTAACTCATGGTGAAACAGAAAATGCATTGGTGAAGAATAATAATTGGTGGCAAGGTCCCTCATGGTTGAAAACTTCTGAAGATCAATGGCCTGAGCAGAAGTTTAAAGTAGAAACTGATACTCAAAATTTGGAACGTTTAAGCACTTATGTTCTGGTGATGGTTCCAGAAGGAGAACATGCATTAAACATTACCAAATTCAACAGTCTGGAAAAATTGTTAAGAGTTACAGCTTGGGTAAAGCATCTTTCCTGATAATTAGAAATTTGTTTCAATGTCCAAACCAATATTTTGACTAGTTTCTGTGTGCTTTATCTCCTTACTTTTCAATCTCTAGACTATGTACCTATGAGGTTTTACTTGATCTGATAAAAGTTACAGGGTCCAAAACCCCTGACAAACAAGAAGCAAATTGTCACTATGTCTGAAAGCAACTGAAGTTAGATAAAGGTTTAAAAAAACCTCTTATTCAAAAAGACCTTAGAATATAGAGGTTAGCAATCTCAACTACAGCTTATGGTGATCTAATTAAACAGAAACTGTAAAATTCAAACTAAAAATGTGGACTAGTAGTCAAAGACTACAATTTCGTTTTAATCTAAGCTGGCTCAGTAACATGTCATAACGTAGTTATCGCATAACAAATTCAGATATCGCCAGCGATACCACAAAGACGAATAATTACAAATTACCAGAGCTGGTAGGAACTAATTCCGTGTGCAAGCGGAGGCCAGAAAAAAGTTCTGTTTTACAATCCCAAAACCTTAGTTTAAAAAAACTATCTATGCAATTTTTATTCTGGTGAGGAAATGGAAAAGGAAAATTACAGCAAAGGCTGAAATTATAAACAACTGTTAATTTACATAATAATAACTGTACATAATCTTTGAAGAATAATTTTCTTTCTCTTTATGTATTCGGTTTTTTTCTTCACTATGTTTCCTCCTCATTTTGGAATTTTTGGATTTAATTAAAGATTTCTGTTATTCTAAAAAACTAAATGCATTTAGAATGTACAGGAAAAGGTTCTAATTTTATTTAGTAATATGAATATTCAGAATAAATATGAAATACTATATGGTAAGGACCAGTGTAGCAGAATTTTTAGAATTTAGTGAAACACTAAGCAAAAAAATTTAGAAATGGCAAAATTTTAGAATTTAGGAAGGCACTAGTCATCAGAATTGAGGATCCACAAAGATTGCATCAGGTGAGAAAATGCATAGCTCCAGCCTTGTGTATGATGGACAGAGCCGTAGCTAGGATTTTCAGCACCCGGGGATAACTGAAGATTTTGCACCCCCTTCTGCATGCCAAGAATGAAAAACATCTCAATGTATTATGCGCATGCACATCCGTAAAGGTCTTACGCGCATGCATAAACGCCTATGCGCAGAAAGTTTGTAGCTTTGAGGTACGGATTATAGATCATTCTGGATTATGGGTGTCCGAATTAACGACTTTTGACTGTATTAAAGATTATCTGCCTATGAGGAATATTTGTGAAAAAATTACTGTCTATTTCTGACTATAAAATTAAAAATTAACTCACCCTAAATAAATGAAAGAATATTAAACCAACATCAAATTACTATATGTGAAATGATTAAAACAAGTGATAGTTATATTTTTAAGCAGAGAATTAAAAAAATAGGAGAAAATATGTATACACTCTATAGCTTGCAGAGCAGTGCTAGTTACATTTTTATAAACATTAACTGACAGACTTGGGTAAAACTATACATGCATAATAGACTTCCCAGCTCTTCAAAAACATAGAACAGAATAACTTGTTTTTCATGAAATGAAATAATTAATGAAATGGTCTTGTAATAACTATAATGTTAATATACTTTGCTAACACTATTTTACAGTCAAATAACTTAAACCTAGCTCTTCAAAAACATAGAACAAAATAACATGCTTTTCATGAAATTAAATAATTAATAAAAGTATCTTGCAATAAATATAATAGTAAAATATATATTACAGTCAAATAACTTTAAAATGCACAAAATTTTTGACAAATTTGATTCTTTGATTATATAACTTATTTAATATAAAATATTTTTGGTAATTTTATTTTTTTTATCAAAATTTGTTGCAATTTAAATTAGGCATTTTTCTTTATAATTAATACATTAATTTATATTATGCACTTACGTTTCTAGGCGCCGACTGCCATTATTTCCATCTGGATGAGTACTGCTGTCTGGCGCCTCAGGAATAGGTTCTTCTGAATCAGGAGGTTCTTCCACTTCATAAAGGGAATTATTACTACTATTTGTTGAATTTTCATCTTGGGTTTGAGAATTTCCTAAATGTATACAAATAATAAGAAATAGCACAATATTCAAACATCTTTCATGAAGGATTAAAAAAATACTGAAAGGCCACTTTAGACACATCCATCTTATATTGTTATAAAATGGAGATCTTATACTATATATAAAATGGAGTCTAACCAATATTATTGCTTAAATAATCAGCTGCCCAGCTAGCATATTTGTTAATGATGCCATCTACTGTACTAATGGGCCTATGTTTAAATCCCAGAGACAGCATGGGTGTTTGTAAACCTATATTGTCTGTGCAACAAGAGGAAATCAAAATACAGAGTGAGCCGAAAGTCCTCTCGAGAGGTTGTGGTAGGGAAGAAGGAGTAGGAGAGGGGGGTGTTTTGCGTCAAAATTTAAGTGAAGCTTAACAGTTAGCAAGATTCGACAATACCTAACATATACCTAAAAAATGCACATGTGCCAGCCTTCTTTCAACTTATACCCATTTAAATAAATATCATAAATTTCTGTTATCATTCTAGGGCTAGATATCAGCCATGAATCTGTGACACTGCATGAAATTTCTACATATTGGAGACCAGTTCTGCTTCTTTTCTAAATATGTAGCTTTTAAGTACCAGTAACTAAGATCAATAACTCAGATGACTGATACTTTGGCCTAGATAAGAATCCTGATGAGCAGACTAGTTACATGGGATTTTCATAATTTTTCTTAAAACCCCTGCTAAGTCTTCCTTCTTTTAGGCAAATAACCCTTACATCCTTTATCATAACCAATTAAAAAAATAATTTTGTCCCTACTTTCAGCAAAGAACATGAATAAAAAAGTTCTTGACAGAAAATGTGTACAACCTCTCACTAAGTAAAATGCTTTTCCAGGCTCTGATCTCTTTAGACATATAAATGAAGAGCAACAGATTTCAGTTTTTATTTTATACCTCTTCTAAAAGATGATTTGTAAAATGTCATCACAATTCCACAAAAACAAATGATAGCAAATCATGACAGAAAAATTGACAGTGTGAGTGACAGGCTGCTGTTTCAACATTTTATTCATGCAAAAACTGTAGTTTATCCCAAAATAATGCAGAATTTTAGACAATGATTATTATATTGGTTCTGAAATCATATATTTATTGAAAGCTATTCCAAACAAGTGAAATTCACACTGCAGAATGAAGACTACATGATTTACTACCACACAAATTCAAACTTCAAATGCTATGACCAATAAATTAAATAAAGTGACTAAGAAAAGTCCTGATAATAAATGGAAAAGTGTACATATTTCAGTAGTAAAAATAATTACTAAGTGGAATAAATATATTGTATCACAGACTTATTACAAATACTACAGCCTATACACATAGGATTATACTAACACTGTGCTTATCCATTTCAAAACTTAAAAAAATTACATTTGTAATTTTATGTAACACGATGAAATGTGATATTTGAATATAGAATGAAGTACAAAATAAACTTCTCATTGATTTTTCAAATATCTTCGTTATAGTAGAGAACAGGGTAAGTTAAAATATTTAATAATACTATTCAGAAACACAGTAACATGTTATATAGTTATACAGTATAGTATACTTTAATAAATAAATTGCATGCTTAAAAATTAAAAAGCAAATCAACATAGAAAATAGCAATATTATATTTTTACCAGTTTTGAAATAATTATTTAAAAAAAAAATCTGAATATATATATGAACCTTCAACTTCACCATCTTTAGTAGCTGTCTTAAGGGAATCATCTTGATCATCGGTAGATGTAACATTATCTGCAGATTTGGAAACTTTGGCATCACTCTTAGCAGGCACATTTGGAGGAGCATCGGGAACTCGACCAGGAAAACAAATGATAGCCAAAAACCAATGAACATTTTGATTAACAGGAATAATTATGTAATCTTTGGAAAATATATCAACATGCCTGGTCCATGTTTTTACTTGGCTGTGGCGCTTAAACTGAATCCTAAAAATTTTTAAATACAAAATTTTATCATTAGCAATCACATTTCAAAAATATAAAATTTATCATATATATTTACGAAGTTTTATTAAAACACTAGAAACTGAAAAATCAGAGACAATTTCAACAGTGTTCTTAATTATTTTTAAAAAAATAGTATCACTAAATAATGTGATAGAATGTTTCATGGGCCATTACTTCTGTTATTCCTTTCTTTGAATCTTAAATTTCACACCAAAATTTCACGTTAAAAATAAATATATACAACCAAATTTTCTTTCCATGAATGTAATTTTATTTTTAAAAAAGTTGTTTGCATAAGAGGAGGGTTCTTTTAATACTGAATTTAAAAGAAAGTTTGCAACTTAATAACAACTGTGATAAAATGTGTAGTTATTGTATTAAACACGTGTCTTATGTATGCAGTCGACTTTATTACTTAAATATGATGCAAGTCATTGTTGCTACTACAGTAACTTGTAAAATATATCCAATTTTATAGTAAGATATTATGCAACAGAAAATACTGACATTCTATGTGGCAAGAGAATAGAGAATTATAAACATGAACCACTATTTCCCATACAACTCTAACCCACCTAAATGTATTCAAGTTTCTTTGCCTTCTAGAAAGTTTCTTTTTTAATACAACTCATTATTCTAATAACAGTATATGAATCCTATGCAGCAAGATATTTAAAACATATATGTGACATATGTTTCTTTGAAGAGATCTGCACTTTGTGAACCAGCTGAGAAAAGGACTGCTATTTACATTTATCTCAAGTGAACAGAAGCAAATGTGAGAATTATTGTTTGTAATACGCAGCTATGAATCTTAGGATGACAAGAATTACCTATGATCAATAATAATACAAACAGTACTTGTGGTTCAACTAATAATAAGAAATAAAGATGAATTTTTTCCATCTCATTAAACCCAAAGGGAAAAGTCTGTCCATCCTTTTTAAACATTATATGTTTATTTCCTAAATTTTATTTTATGACAAAATAAAATTACTAAAAAGAGATATATTACAAAATCAACTGAAGGCATAACTAAATTGGCTTATTTCACGATTTGCTGAACCCACATTCATGTCAAAAAATAAATACATAAATCTTCTTGGTTGCAAAAAGTTTATAAACCTACACAAGTTATACTTTCAGTAAAAAATAACAGGCTGAATAGTGATTATTGGACGAGTTAAGGTACATGAATCAACATAATATCCATAAATTTGAAGGACTAGTTTCAAAGGTTTAAATATAGAACCTTAAAAAAAAAAAAAAAAAAAAAAAAAAAAACATGCAGAATTTCAAATGATGAAAGAAAAACCAGAAATAAGGCCATAAAAATAGGCACCCTCTACTAAAGAAAAATGAAAACAACTACAAAATAATTTTCTTAAAAGTTGAGGCTAAATGTGAATTGGAATTATATAAAAAACTTAAACACCATTTTATACCATTAAAACTGTGCTTTAGCTTATACTGAAAACGTGGTTTCATCATCTCCATGGGCATCATGTGGACAGCTTTGCCCATGGAGTTGTTAGGCCTAACTATAAGGTTCAATTTCTTTTATAGTAATAAATATATTATGTCAATTGTATATTTACTGGCACCTACTTCTTAGATTTTACATATAAAATATGTTATATTGCAATTTTTTTGTCTGATATTATATAACCATCATTACATGATTTTTAAGCAAACAAGATTTCCATTTCATTGGTGTAAATAAATTAAATTAAATACCATAAATAAATTAACAAAAAAAAAATTCTAGGTGCCAAACATAGAGATAGGCCTAAACTTGGTGACAATGAATGATGTTTCAACCAATTCAAAAAAACAGCTATGATAATGGACAGGGACGTAGCTAGCAGTAGGCCTAGTTGATTTTAAATTTTAGACATGGCTAAAACCAAGAAAGAATGTGAGAAGTACAAATTAGCAAGGCAGAAGCACAAAAGAGAATGTGAGAGAAAAAGAGGTGAACATATTAAAAGTGACCCCAAGTTATATATGAAGAAGCAAAGAGAAAAGAGCGTGAACGGTACCATGTTCGAAAAGAAGCAAGCAAAATAAAATCTATTCATGAAATGACATCAGTCCAAGAGCAAATAACTAAGCGAAAAAGTTGGAAAGCATGTTCAAAGAAATACCGTGCAGCCAAAAAGAAGGAAAAGTACTGATCTTAAGTGTGGACAGTCCTCCTTCTAATCCCGTATTACCTGTAGTCCTAAATGAAACTACAGAATCTCAAGAACATTTATCATCTCCACAGCCACAATATGCAAGTTCTGAAATATCTACAAACAGTTACTCTTCAGGAAAATCTAGAAAAGAAAGTGGTAGGAAAAAAGTAAACAAGAGTAGGTCAGCTGCTTACAGGAAAATAAAAAAACTAGAGGAAGAATTAAAAACATAAAAAGCAAAATGTAGCAAGTATAAAAGTAGATATTATAGGAAAAAGGGAAAGCAAAACAAAAGGAAAGATGATACACCAAATACTAAAGTTATGAAATTTCTAAAAGGTGTGAAGGTATCTTCTCCTATAAAAAGGAGATTAGTTTTTAATGAAGCAATGATTTCCAAAATGACTGATAATTTTCAGAAAGCACGGAATAAGAAAGAATATAGAAAATCTTTTCTCTGTTATGTAGCTGGAAAAATTATAAAAAAGTATAAGTGCATGAATGAATTAAAAAAAATATTCAAATTCAAAAATCTTAAAAGTAGAGATGGTAAAGAAAAACGCATGATTCAAACCAAGTTGGAGCTGATTAAACAAGATATTCAGGATTTTTTGGAAGATGATTCTTGCAGCACATTATGTCCTGGAAAGAAAGATACGAGGGCTATCCAGAAAGTAGATTACGTTTTGGAATAAAAAAATAAACAAAGTATAGGAAACAAATTTTATTATATACAGATGAAAGCCACACTCAAATACTACTTTTCTACATAGTCACCATACAAATTAAGGCATTTATCGTAGCGATGTACGAGCTTGGAAATTCCTTCGTCGAAAAATTCGGCCGCCTGTGCCTTCAACCACTTCGTTACCTCTTCTTGCAGCTGTGCGTCGTCATCAAAACGCTGCATAGCCAGCCACTTCTTCATTGCTGGGAATAGGTGGAAGTCGCTCGGTGCCAGGTCGGGACTGTACGGCGGATGAGGAAAACAACTCCCACTTAAAAGATTCAAGAACTTTACGAGTGACATTTGCCGTGTGGGGCCGGGCGTTGTCGTGAATCAACAAGATCTTAGAGCTCAACATTCCTCTCCTCTGCGCTTGTTTTGAATTGCTCTTCTGAGTTTTTGGAGAGTTTGGCAATACCTTTGAGAGTTTATTATAGTGCCTCTTTCCAGGAAGTCCACCAAAATTTACACCTTTTCTGTCCCAAAAAACAGTCGCCATCATCTTCCTTGCCGACATTGTTTGCATGCATTTCTTGGGTTTTTGGGGAGAACTTGTGTGCCCCCACTGCATTGATTGCAATTTCGTTTCACAGTTCACATGTTTCACCCATGTTTCGTCACCAGTAACGATGCGATCGAGTAAAGAGTCACCATCCTTATGGTAAGCGTCCAAAAAGTTCAACGCTGCAGCCATTCGCTGATTTTTGTGGTCCTCTGTCAAGATTTTTGGAATCCATCTTGCACAAAACTTGTGGTAACCAAGCTTTTCGCTGATGATTTCGTGCAACAAACTTCGCGAAATTTGTGGAAAACTTGTGGAAAGAAAGTTCCGTTATTGTGAAATTTCGATTTTCATCACGGACTTTTAGCATCGACTTTTTTTCGAGAAGTTCGGCGGTCACTATGCTGGGTCTCCCACTTCGATCTTCGTCGTGAACATTGGTTCGGCCATTTTGAAATCTTATGACCCACTGACGCACTCCACCTTCAGTGATAATGTTGTCCCCATACACTTCACGAAGCTGCCGATAGATTTCTATCGGTTTACAGTTTTTTTGCAGTCAGAAACCTTATTACTGAGCGCACCTCGCAGCTCGCGGGATTTTCAATTAACGCAGACATTTCAAACCGTCACAGTATCTGAACGGAGCACAGCACGAACCTCTCACTAGCACGGCTAGATGCAGACTGAGCTGCGCAACGCTCTGACCCCAAGATGGCCGCGCTAGCCCCGCCCCTAGCGGACACAGACGGAAACGTAATCTACTTCCTGGATGGCCCTCGTACAATAAGTAGAAATGGGTTGAAGAAACAAAAACGCTGCTTAAATGACAGTTTGCAAAACCTTTACAAGGCTTTCTCCAGTAAGTATATGCAATATTTTGTACATTACAGTACATTTTGCAAACTTCGTCTATTCTGGTGTGTCCAGAAAAAGGTAGATAAGCAAGACACATGTTTATGTAGCCTTCATGAGAACAGGAAACTCATGGTGAGTGCATTAAAGCAACAGAAGATTATTTCTGAGAGAACCCCAGATGAACTTTACAAAGGTTTGTGCTGTGATACTAAAGAAAATATTGAGAAATGTTTAGAGAGGAACTGCAATGAATGTAAAAACAAAAGGATTAAGTTTTTAAAATATTCAGAAGATGACACAGTCTCATACGAGAAATGGGTTTTGAAAAAAAGTGAACATTATAGCCAAAGGAATTCCCAAGACTGTTAAAAAAGCATTCTAAAGATCAGATTAACTGTTCTGCTGCAGAACTGGTTCATGCCTTGCAATCAGAAATGCCAAAGTTCATGGTTCATATTAGTAATATTTTCACACAGTTTTCACTTTTTATTTGCTTATTTCAGAGTTTTTCAACCATTTTCTTGCATTCACCCCCTTCTAAAAGAATAATAGTTCTCTTTATTGACCCCTTCCCCCCTCCCGGGGGGCCGATGCAGAGAACTCTGTGAGGCTAGGATCTGTACCTAGGCAGTCTTGTCCATGGTAGTATAAAATCATTCAGCTTGGTGGTTCCCAGTCACCTGTGGGTATTTGTGAGTAAAACTGACCCTGATTATTCGGGTGGCCCACTGGATGAGGTCTTGCAAGCCCTGTGTAAGACCCTGTGTATGGGCTTTGGGCATTCCACATAGTACTGGCAGGTAGCACCCCCAATGGCCAGTAAGATCTACAGGCATGCATGTTCCCTGACACTATGAAACCTGAGAACTGGGAGTGGTGACTCCGCAGGTCCAGGAGGTAGCTGTGATTGTAGAGACACATTTAAAAAGTCTGCCACTTCAGATTGGGAGCCCAGAGTGGTAGCATGATTAGCGTATTTTTAACCTTCTCGGGGAACTTCAACTGGTGACCCAGCCCTTTGCCTAATATAGGGGTATCTCAGTTGGGACCAGTCCGTGTAGTGTCGATTGACGTAGCACGTAAAGAAATATTATTATTATTATTGACCTCCTTAATTTTTTTGCTATTACATATAGCATACAACAATCATAATACAAATAATTATGCATATGTTAATATAACAATTAGACTAAAATATGAATAAAATTTTTGAAAAAAATGAAAAATGGTTTATTAGACTGATGTATTATAATTTTTTGCATTTTTATTATTTTTATTTTCAAAATATACACAAATTTGCAGACACAAAATCACAGATTCTAATGGCGCAAAAGTTTGATTTTAATTCATGTGATGATTGCACTTAACATTTTTATGCAATTTTTTTTTTTTTTTTTTTTTTTTTTTTTTTTTTAATATTGTGCATAATATTGCTTAATTTAATTCTTAAATCACCTCGTTCAGAAATATTCAACCTGTTACTTGTTTTCTGTAGTAAGTTATTCACTTAAATAAAGCTTGCTTCCCCTAGTTAAGATGAGGAAAAAGCCTATAATGTTGGTCTTTAATTTTGGGATATTTCTCTTGAGTGATTTTTAAATTCCAAAAGTTACTACCCATGTTCTGAATAAGACTTGACTTATTCAGAACTTGCATGATTCTGATGTTGCCTATAATGATGAATAAAACATGTTGCCTATAATGATGAATAATCGATAATGATGAAGCCGATAATGTTGGCTAGCAACAACTTTAATTTTGGGATATTTCTTTTGAAAGATTTTTAAATTCCAAAAGTTTGAATAAGATTTGGCTTATTCAGAACTTGCTTTAAATTAATACACAACTATTAATATATTTTTTATATCAATGGGATCTTGAACATGCTGATCAATTGTCATCGTATATTCAGTCAGCGATTCCCAGTTGACACTCTGAACATTATAGAGCTCATTAAAAATTTCATCAACACCAAAGGGGTCCATTTACAGATACAATTTTTAGGTAATTTCTATATATTTATTGAATAATTTCATGAGATCTTTGAACTGTAGAACTTATTATGTTTATGCATATTTAACTATTGTACTATTTTATGCAATTTTCCAATTCTAAATTGATAGAACAGCTCTTGTTGCAGTACTGCCAGTTAGTTTTGATGTTCGACAAAATTATTATGTTCATTATGATGAATAACACAAAATCTTAAATAAAACAATCAAAATCTGATTTCTTTTAAGATTTTGAAGCCAATCTTTATGTATAGGATGATGAATGAAATGATTTTGAAACCAATTTTTTATGCATTTAAATAATTTCTAAGGCATTAATTATGCAAAAGATAACATAACAAGATCACAAGAAAAATTCTCAAGATAACTTGAAAAAGTTACTATTGGTGTAATTTTCAGTCATAATCATTTCATTAGTTTTATATTAAGTCTCCAAAAAATAAATAAATAAAAATCTGTTTTATGCCCTCTATGGTTCTCCTCAATACATATCAATTTTAAAAATTTGCCCTGTTTATACAGGGATTTCAAAATTCCTTTGTTCGATACACATCTCCACCTTAGAGATATTCTAAAATTTTAAATAGCTTTTTGAAGCCTCAATAAAAAATTTTCTAAAATGTTTCAATAGTTCTTCCTTTTTCTTTTGGCAACGGCATAAACAGGAGACTGCAATAGAGCTTGAGTGAGTTCAAAATTTTTAATTAAGGTTCTTAGTTTAATTAAGGTACTTCCTTATTATAGTGGCCCCCAAGATTGAATTTGCTAATCAACCAAGATATCTCACCTTTCATTGAAGCCTTGGAGAAAAAGTTTTCTAAAAAGTTCCTATAGTTCTTTTTTCTTTCGGCAATGGCATAAAAAGGCGACTGCACTAGAGCTTCAAAGATTTCAAATTTCTTAGGGTACTTCCTCAGTATAGTTGCCCCCCCCCAAGATTGAATCATTAATCAATCACGATATCTCGCCATGTGTTCCCATACCTTGCTACATGTTACATCTTAACTGATTACCAACAAAATTTTGGGGGTGCTATAATAAGGAAGTACTGTTCTTAGTTTGTTATAGACCGTAGTACTACTGAGCTGCTCAGTGATTACTGCGTTACACTTTGGTCTACAAGCAAATTTGTGATCTGAGATAATTGAGGTTTGGCTTTTGTTTATGCTCTCCAAGAGCTATTTTTAGTTATTTATCTATCAATAATAACTATTATTCATCATCTTAAGTTCTAATACAATCTCAAACTTTCCAGTTCAACTGGCCTAGTGATTTAAGAAGATGTCTATGAACCCACACTATGTAATAATATCATTAAAAAATAATGATCATGATTTTAAAAACTTGATAAAGTTGCATAAGTTCACATACTATTTTAAAGGAGGAACAGAATAAAAAATTCATACGTTTTCTGGCCATCGTCAGAGCTTCCTGGTCGTCGCTCAGGTCTGTGTGTAAGACGGGGATAAAAATAGGAACTAAATATGTGTGTTTTTTCACGGTCATAATCAGAGAGCTTTTCATAGAAAACATACCTGAAAATATCAGAATCAATTAACAAACACAAAAGCGTGGAAAATTCTACTGCAATTAAAATTTGTAGCACAAAAAGAATTTTTAAACAAAAAAAAATTTTTTTCATGGTTGGTGCTGAATTTTACTAAAAAGAAAATTCATAAAACTTTTGATAAAATACATCATAATGTCATTTTCAGAGGCAAATATTTATAACAATATAAAGGTCATGTCTACAAATATTGGAGCAGAAAAATTCACTACATGTCATTTTTAAAAGTAGTAAGATTTGTGTTAATTAACTTATTACTTTATTTGTACTACAATCATCAGCTTTTACCAAGATGCAAATTAGGTACATGTAATCAAGAGCAGAGGAAATTGGAGAAAGAACTTTGGCAGCGACACTGATCATTGTGATAATTCCTTCCAGCATTGAGGGTCACTTAGACCAATGCTAGCCTTTTGCTACCTGAGTTTGCTCACAATATTAGATTAGCTTGAATTTCTGGCATTAAATTAAGAAGATTTAAAGCTACATTTAGAATTAGCTTAAACCTCGCAAGTAGCAGAGGAAGTATTGCTTGTATAAAAAGTGTAATGTTTTAATAAAAAAGTTGAATGTTTAATAAAACTTTTTCTGGGTTGTAGTTACCATTAATCTATCATACAGCAAAAAGTCACCTTACAATCTCGCTGGGAACCTAATTCAATTAAATAAGTGAAACGTTCCCTACAAAGTCATCAGAACTGCAGCATGCAAATTATTCCAGAATGAAAAATACTATAGTAACAGTCAGCTTTCCTCTTTTACAAAGAATCATTATCATGCAATTTTCTGGCTTACTCCTATTACTTTACTTTGCAACTACATATCTTATAATTTTTCTGTCTTATGTTTTGTTCAGCATATTAAAAAAAGTGATGCAGATTCATCTTGCTTAACCCCTTCACGCCGACTGTCACGTCTACGTGCCAGCAACGAACACACTCACCTACCGGCCGACACGCAGGCGTGACAGAGCATTTTTCCGTTTACTACCTACTGTCACGTATTTGCGCCAGCATCCTGGAGCGTTTTTCAAACTATAATTTCTGCCACAAGATGGCACTGTATGTCCATATGGTTTCAGATACATGTACATTAGACCTTCTACTCGAAATGAGAGAAGCATGACTCACATACACGTGTTTTTGATTATATAAACAAACGGGGAACTAAATGTTTCCGAATGGCGTGATTTATGAAGTCTCTTTAAATCGCACTTTATTCGCACGTGGTAGTTGTTTATTGTAAGTAGAAGTTTTATATGCGCTAAGGCGTTGAGTATTTCGGTTTACAGTTCAGTTTTTAGAATCTTGTTAGACGTGAATTCTTTCTGTTTTTTACCGTTGCAATGTCGAAGCGTCGAAAATGTTTAACAGGGCATGAAATAGCAGAAATGATGCAAAATATTTCAGATATTGATTCTGAAATTCTGATATTGATTCTGAAAGATTAACTGAAAGACATTTCCAAAACTTGTTCAGAAGAGACTGATAAGAAAATGAGACGACGATGCTTCGTTTATTCACATTCCCGTAAAAATCCTCCAAAACGGCAAATAGTTATTACAAATGAGTTATTTCAAGGAATGTAACGTAGGACTGTACGTAGATCCCTGTTTTCAAATTTTTCATACGAAAGGAGAATTTTAAGTAATATATTTAGTTTTCAGATGTATAATGCTAAAAGTCATAAAATGGTGAGTAATTAAAATAAAATGTGTAAAATATGCATTGAAACAAGAAATAAGGTAATTAAAGTATATACATAAAAATATCTATAAAGCATAAGCCGTTTAAATACTCTATAGAGCATTATTAAACAATGTGTTGATACTTTGGAAATTTCATGGATTTAGGCTTAGTAGGCAAAAAAGCCCCCGGCCCTGGAGAGACGCTTGCGGAAGACACTGCCGGCCTCCGCGATAAGCGCGCGTTTTCGCTACCCGGCTCGAAGGGGTTAAATTAAAACTACTTACTACTCACCTCAGTTATGTATGTGTTGATTCAAATACAAGGAGAGGATGTCGCTGCTACCGCTCTATGAGGAGAATGAATTTGGGTTAAGAAAATAAGGTCCACGAAAGGGAAGAATAAGAAAGAATTGTCATTAATACAGAATTGAAAGTAAAGAAAATGAAAAGAATAATGCTCCACATTTGCATAGTACCATTCTTTCCTTATTTTGGGATGGGAGTGGGATGATTAGTTAAGCAAATATGATAATGCCTCAGCAGCGCATAAAATAGTTTTTAAGACATTCATTCCCCCCTTCCAAATTAAGTAAAATTACACTTTCACATGCACTATAATTTTGGTAGCTGGAATACAGCATGAAAAGTGATAGTTTCATCTTAATCTAACTGATTCTAATCATAACAAATTTGTACTTAACATCTACATGGTTTTTTTTTATTCATTATCAAACCTGCAAACCTCTAAAGATAAAAATTCAGAAGATTTCTTCCCCAAATTCAGAAGAACACGAAGAATTAATATCATGCTTTGATATTAAAAAAAATAATTTATACAAATAGAAAAAAGAAAATTGTACTTACATTAGTAAATCTCAATTAAGTAGTAACTAAAAAATTTATTAGGAACATAAAACAAGAACTTAATGTTACACAAAAAAATTATTGCAATGAATTTTAGAGTGCATTTTTTGGCTTTAGCCAAAAAAATTCTTTGGAAAATTTCCTATCATAACAATTAGTTTCCTCATAACATTTAGCAATTAAAATGTTTTCTAGAGTTTTTGGTGAAATTGAAGAACGAAACATAGTTTTGTTTTCTTCACAACACTGAAGACTCTCTCTCGCACTCAGCATTACCGTGTGGAATTACGAGAATAGCACATAAAACTCTTGCTAGTCTCATGCTCTTGCTAGTAGTTTGATATTGGGATGTTAAGTTGTTTCAACTCATTAATTACCAAGGAGGCAATATTTTCCCCCCCGTAGCGTCTCCATTTAAAATGGAAGATGCAAAAGATGAGTTTTCATTTCATTAAAAACATCACAGAAATATGTGACAACAATGGGGTAAAGCTTCCAATCGCTGTCGTTGCTGCCATCGATGACATCAGCATCCGAATTCGTAGCCGAATTTGAAAAAAAATCATCCACTTTCTTCGACGTTGTCGAAGCAGAAGCATTAACTTCATGCTTTTTTAGACTTAAACATGCTTCACAATGTCGCTTCTTTCCACCGTGACTTATTATGAAGTCACACACGCACACGTTTGCAAAATGCATAGTTATTTCCTTTGAAGGATTCTTTAATTGTTGGAAATTCGGCTTTGTAGGCAGGCCGAAAATATTGAGAATACGGTTTTTTTTTTTAACTCATTTCGTAACAACGACGTATTAAAGAAAATTCGTAGCACGTGCAAACAAACAACACAACACACACACACAACAACAAAAAATAAATAAATAAATAAAACAGAATGCGGCAAAATGCTATGCTTCACTGAGTAATTTCCCTTGCTGCTGAAGCGAAACGCGAAAAAAATAATCTGGCACCCACAAAGAAAAGAGTGGGAGAAACAAGTTCAGCGCATTGGATTGGCTGGTTAAGCGGCGAGTTGGGAGAAACCGCAGGTTACTGGATTTGAAGTAGTCGGTAGTTGGCGTAAAACATGATGCAATTGGCGAAAAATTCTAAAATTTCGACAAAAATCACTAAAAACACTTGAAAAAGGAAAAAAATTGTAAAAAATGGATTACGATCGTAAAATCGTAAAGACAAACTCATTTTCGTAAAAATTACGAAAAATTCGTAAAAGCTGGCAGGTATGCATTATGCTTATAAGAAAACAACATAAACCTGAGAATGTATAATTTATAGGCATTAAAAATACTGAATAAGCAAAATACATATTGAAAACAAAATAATTTTTGTAAGACTCTCATGAAATAAGATTCTTACTTCAAATAAAAGTCTATAATAGCATCATTCAAAAATTCGCCTTCATTTAAGCATGCTAAATCTTCACTTGTAATTGCAATGCCTCCAGTTTGTGGTGGCGGTGGATATGTTAGAATTCTGCAAATGAAATAGATTCAAAATATAAGGAAAAAAGGTTGGGGTATAACATATATGAAATTTATATAAATAATATTGAATAAATAGAACACTTACTTTATAACAGGTTGTTGAGGTAACTTGATTAGTGATATATTTTGCTAAATAAATAAAAAATTGTATTTAAAAAAAGGCAATATGAGTAATAGAACAAGAATGAAAATCACAGCAACTATTAAAATATATGCAGCAAATTCTATAATAAATTTCTATAATGTTCCCACCTAAATTACAATATCAATTATCTCATCTGATTTATTTTTAAGATGTTTAAAAACTAGAATAACTTATGCATTTTATTTACTACAAATATATGCTAATTTATTAACAGGAAATTCTACAACACATTTCCAATAAATGTATAGTGGAACCTCGGATAACAAACAGCTTGCATTATGGACAATTTTGTTCATGAACAAATAATCTAAACAAAAAATACCTCAGACATCAAACACCGTCTTGAGTTATGAACATTCAATTTCGCAAAGATGATTTATAAAGATATTTTACAGCAACCTATGCTTCAGAATTAACATTCAGACTCTCTGAAGAATAACCTCAATATTTTCCACTGTTTAACTCTCATTAACAAAGCCTTGCAACAACTGACTTACAGGACTACGAATCTTGTGCAGGAGGGAGAAATTGTTTGGTAAGAATGCATTACAACAGACTTTAGGGGCTTTGATACTTAGGTCTTTTTTGTTGCCTTTGATATTGTGTCTCTAGGCTTGAAAGTTAACAAAGAATATGGGAAGGAGTTACTAGAGGACCATAAAAATGAGCTCAATAAGAAAAAACTGCAACAGCTTTGAAAGCAGCTACAAATGATGAATGTGAAGGAAATGTCTTCAGATGAAAAGTGAGGAAGAAAAGATAGTCCTAGCTCATCGACCCATGAAATTTTTGTAAAAGGGGAAAGATACAAAGTTTTCACTTAATAACAACATCGCCTCAAATGGCCGAAATTCCAATGCTGTTTTCTTCCCTCACCTAGGGTATGCAGTCCCCTCAAATGCATTATTGCAGACAGCTTGTTCTAAAAGGATTTATTTCTGGTTTCTTATCTTTATTTGTTAGAAGTAGAAAGGATGTCATTCGAAACCTTCACTCTTCTTTGTGCGTTAATGGATGGAGAGGGAAGGAAATTGCTGCGATTCTAGAAAACCCTTTCGGGCAGTTCAGTATTTTAACATACACGCTAGCAAAGGCTTTGGGTTTTAAAGAGTTAAGAAATACTTTAAAGCATAGACAAAAACAAACCACACAGTGAAATGGAAGCCCAATGAGTCTCAAGGAGAGTCGATTGATGCTAAGAGACGAAGAGGGAAAAAAAAAAAAAAAAAAAAATGGAAGCAGATATTCTAAAGCAACAGTTATCTGATGATTTTATGGAAGGGGACTCCTCATCCAAACTATAAGAATAATTTACCTTTCTCTTTTTTGTCACTTTCCACTTAAGCCATTCACACACCTTTATGCAGGTACAATAAAACTAATTATTTCCATTCATCTGTTTTGTCTTAGATTTAATATTTTCATTGATTTTGTATCATGAACTTGTACATGAAATACTGTGGAATAGTTTTAATAAGTAAAAATTCATCAATTTCACTCTATTTCCTTTGGAGAAAATAGTTTTGGTTTATCAGCTTTTCGGAGGACAAATGGCCATCAAAATCTAAGTAAATTTATGAATAATGGTTTCACTGTATGTAAATGTAAGACAAGTTTTGACATAATAAATAAATTTTTATATAAAAAAGAATGCTTGTTCATTTGCCTATTACTAAATTTTCCTTCCAGAAAATATAAAGAACAAAACTTAGAATTACAATTAAAAAAAAAAAAAAAATTATTTTATGCATATCGTAAATAACATTTAATATTATGGGTAAATTAAAAATAATGTTAATGCTACAGAAAAATATTTTAAATATAAAAATTTTCATTGTAGAAAACTTCTCGAGTAATGCTTTTTAAATATTATGTTAAAATGCGTGATATATTTAGGAGAAAAATTGTTTGGCCCTTTCAGAAACTATCCCCAAGTATAGTATAGAAGACATGAATACTACCGATCCCACATTGTGAAAAGACACAGTTACAGAGGTGGTTGGATAATGGTTTGGGCTGGGACCTCCCTTAGTGATCACACTGACCTGCATGTGTTCCATGCAGGCAGGAACTCTGACGGTGTGAGATATCAAGACGAGATTCTTGATCAATTTGGCCACCCTATCTGCGTTATTGTCCTGGATCTGATGGACCATACGACCATTGCTCGGGGGCTAGAAATCTTGGGTCTGTATGGAGCGGATAACTGTTTGAGATAGTTTTTTTTTTGTGTGGTGGTGCTGCCTGGTCTACTGCAGCTGTGAGTCTTCGCATTGCAGTACGAAACACCAGGCAGCACACAGCACGTGCACCCAGCACATAAAAACTCGGGCATACACGTCAAAATAGCAAAAGCAAGAGATCTACGCCGCGAATAGAGGATGTACCAGTCGCCTCGCAATTCTACACAGATGGCTCCAAACATGATAACGGAGTGGGCTTGTGCTTATGCTTATTATGAGCATGGTACACTTCACAGTCAATGGAAAGGTCATCTTGCAGCTCACAATAGTATCTTCCAGGCGGAGGCCATAGCAATTGAAGCGGCAATACAGTACGCACATGACATACAACTTGCACGAACAGAAATCTGCACAGACAGCATGTCAGTGCTGCAGGCATGAAAGAATCATCATCACACATCTCCCATAATCCCGCAAATCCAACAGACATTGCATAGCAACCAGCAATCTAACATCAAGCTAAAATAGGTAAGAGGCCACTCTGAAATCGCAGGCAAAGAGATGGCAGATCAACTGGCCAATGAGGCAGCACTAATCCTGGCGTCATTTTTAATAAGAGACATAGGGAATAAACAATGGCAACACGAATGGGAGAATGGAGATACCGGCAGAATGACTTTCGAATTCTACCCTGTAGTAGATAAAGAACGCTTACAGGCCATACCCCCTTTGGTAAACTATATCACGGGGCATGGCACTTTTCCCACCTTCTTTTATAAGCGTGCTATCTCCAGACAGAAGCGTGTGTGTGTGGGGGGGGAAATTGGCTCCCCCGACCACTACGTGTTCAACTGTAGCCTCACGACGAGCCATCACCTACCATATCCCACTACGAATATAGTACCTTACAAGAGACAGCAGCTGAGCGCCCTAGGGCAGGATGTCTGCCAACCAACATAGGAATAATAGCATACACAGCGCAATAATTCTATGTCTCTATTGTAACTTAGCAGGTGTTATGTCTAAAATTGTAAATATGTAAGTGTATAAGTAACTGTGTAATGTAAGTAATGTAAGTAATAGTGTAATGTAAGTAATTTAATCAATGAGTGTAATACGTCGTACTATGTGTACTTTTAACATAACGTAATCGGTAATGTAGTCATTAGCGCGGTGCCAATTTATTTTAGAAGAGCGGTTTCCCTGTTAATAAGTTACCTCGGCATTAGCCTCTTCTACTTTTATTAAGCAATATGAATTTGATCCCGCTATATCTTTTAGTAATTTTATTCGATATTTAAGTTCAAGCCCAAATAGAGATTTGCTGTACGCTCTGAGAAAGGAGCCAACTGTTAAACTCTTATTTAAAAAAATAAACTCTTATTAAGCTTACGTCTCCTTTCCTGAAATAAAGCGATTATTCGCATAGCTGCTCACGAGGTTCCTACACTTAATTGTTAGATAAAAGAATGGAAACCCACAAGATAAAGATATGTTTTAAATACCACAGAACAAGAGTTAGAGAAAAACGTTTGACTGGATTATTCAGAATTTCAAATAATTTTAGATTTATATACTTGCACAGGAGCGCGGTTATTTCCTCGGAGAATATAAAGTCTGTTCTCAATGTCCTTTCGGACTTTATTAAGCATTTACGGAGTCACGGTACTTGTTTCGATGTGATTCGATTTCTGGTTTGTTCTCGGACACTTAGGAATGAAGGAAACGAGCTAGCGGACATCAGTGCAAAGTCTGCGATTGAGTTATCTATATAGCTCTTAAGGATATTATTAGAACATCCAGACACAAAATCCTAAAGAAATGGCAGCTAATCTGGAACTGTCAGCTTTAAAATAAATTAACAAATATTAAAACTAATAAAGTCTATTGAGAGGATACAACAAACCGAAGAGAGGACGTCTTAATTGGTCAAAAATTCGACTACTCTGGTTTTGCGCACAACTAAACCTGTTCAAAGGTAATGCTTGGCTTACTTAGCTATGGCAACACACTCGAAGGATATCTGCCTAATGGGAAGAATGTCTTCCTGGAGGACTTTCTAATGGAACGTTTACATATGTACCTTACAGATGTGAGAAAACACGAAAACTCCTACGCAAATAGCCCGTTCGCCGAGATTCGAACCCCTGATCAGTACTTCCAGTGTTCATTGACCATTCGGTCACTGGTGGGGTTTAAAAGATGAGAGCAGCCTACTTGTTCCATTTGTAAAGTAATTTTATCATTATGATATATTTAAATTAAAAGCCCGGCTTTCGGCAGAGTTCCAATGAAGTTTTTTAATAGCTGTTAACTCCCTTTTGACCGTTTATTCTGAAAAGAGTCAATACAGATTTGTTTCATTAACTAAAAGAGACTAGGTTAGATAATCTAATCTGAAGGAATTTTAATGCGTTTCATTAAATGTACTAAGAAATGTATTTTACGTGCTGAAATTTTATTTTCTTATTATTACATTCATCGCGTTAATTTTCTTGGTCTAGGTAACTCAAGATAATCATTAGTAAACATACTTTCTCGTGTCTATGTGGGTGTGTTGAAAAATAGTAAAAACCGGTTTTACCTGTTTTTACTTTCCATCCATGTTTACCTGTTTCCAGTTTACTTTCCATCCATGGTATGAGTTTTATTCATTTGTTCACAAATATATTTTATAATTCACATCAGTTTATTGTATGATTTGTTTTATAATTTTGTGTTAATAAAGTAACATTCTTATCACACGTTTGGCGCATTATAACGCTGTGAGGGTATGTGTCTTGAATTTCACAAACTATCAATAAATCAATTTTTACACGAATTCGGAATTGAATATTCGTCAGTCTTAATTTCTTTGAAGAATAGAAAAGGACATATTCTCGTGATAAATTCGAAGGAGTATTCTGCTGCTTCGTTACAGCTGTACAGCTTTTACTGCTGTTAGCAATGTAAACGTGAACATGAGTGATCATTGACCTAAACGTTTAAAAGAAAAATCTAACTTCGTATTTCACTCTATCAGGTGGACTATTAGAACATGGTCGTCTGACATACAGTCCGTTCATTATATCTTCCGTGCACTTTGAAAGAAAGTATTTGCCACGATACGTTCTTTCAAAGTGGCGCTGCAACCGTGGATGTAACAGATTAGGAGGTCACAGACCAATTTCTTTCATGGCTATAGGAAAATACCGATCTTGAAAAAGGGTGGTAATGGTTGGTCTACCTGCTGTAGACCTTCCAACAACTTTTGCAATTGTTTGGAGTTCTTTTTAAATTTGAGACAAAGTGATGAAACCATAGACGTAAAAACTGCGCAATACACTTTCCTTCCGCTCACTACTATAGCAACATACTGATCTTCAGAAGGAATGATCCACTAACTGCAGTCTCTAGAGAACTGTTTGATCTCTTTGGATCTTTCACTTTTCATGAAAAATTATCTTTCAACGAAACTCTTTAAACATTTCGTATCAGAAATTAAATGAACCTGCAGAAAAATTTCACGATCCTGCCCTCTTTTGCCATTGCGTAATTAGCGCAGTTCGGGCAAACATTCATGATTAGGTGTGACACACGATATTTGCATATTGTTATCTTCATGTGCAGAGGCAGGCACACAATTTTAGCTCCCTTTCGAAAATGGGGCGCTTAAATATTTTAAGCCAGTGTAAGTGTATTTTCGCAGCTATTGTAACTGGATTCTATTGCAACCGTTTCAGATTTACATGGATTTGCATTCAAAAGGTTACAGGCAACATTGAGAATTTAAAACGTGTACTCTTTCAAAATTTCAGTAGCCACCAAGAGATATATGAAAAATTTGTCTTTATAAAAGCGTATGAAGGATAGCTTCACGTGGTACATGTGATATGGTTGATGATTTAGTGGGAAGCCAATTTGTTGATATTTGTGAAATAGTGGTAAATATACAACAGAAACGACATGTATACAACATAACAGTAATATATTACAACAGAAACGTTATCTGTTGTATTTGTTTTTATATCAACATTTACTCACTGGGGGCGATGCTTTCTACAGTAATGTGTAAGAGAAACTGGCTTCTTTTCACGTTAAAATCGGTGAAAGTGGAATGACAAAGCCAAACCGTTTTAAAGCTGTGCCAAACTAGTATTATTCAGCTCATTTCATCACTTTGGTCACGGTTCAGGCCCTCCCATAAAAAGTAATCACATGGTCGGAATTCGACAAAACCTGAAACAATGCACACGATAAAGGGTGATAAAATGAATCGAAACAATGTGTGTATGATTAATGTGTATAGTGTGTGTAATGTGTAATGTGTATAGTATGTAATGTGGATTAACGTGTTCGAAAGGGTGTGGATAAAGTTTCTTATCAACTAAAGAGATTATATTATTATTTAATTCCTTTTTCTAACATGACTGACAAGGTACTTCATCACGAATTCACATAGTTTTAAATAAGTTTTAAACTCAAAGGTTTATACTCAATTCATACACCCAAACGCTCATATATATTTATATAAACCTTTGAGTAAATGAAATGAATGTGATATATATGAATTGCATGTGGAACATGAACCGGAACCCTGAAGTTGTTCCAATTCATGTTTCACATGCATTAGGATTAATGATGATACTTCGCTACACCTTTCCTTAGATATAACTAGAATGCTTTTACTCATGATTTAGTATTAGATTATATTTACATTTATTTTCCTACACGTCAAATTTTGTTATATATATACAGATGGAGGACAAAATAATACGAAAATCTGTGAAAAGGTATGACGTATTTGGCACCTGCAGTATTGCCGCGCCAACTGCAACGGAAGTCTGCCACCTAGTGAGCGTGAAGAGGAAGGTATCAGTCTCCCAACAGCAGTCACCTGCGTTGCATGCTTCGATCGGACTGTCTTTGGAAATGTCAGAACTGTCAGAGTTACAAAGAGGAATGATAGTTGGAGCGTGTTTAAGTGGAACATC